AACAACAGCAACTCAGCCAGGAAGTGGTCGGCCACGTCACATGACAGAGCGGGGTCAGCGCATGCTGAAGCGCACAGTGCGCAGAAGTCACCAACTGTCTGCAGAGTCAATAGCTACAGACCTCCAAACTCCATGTGGCCTTCAGATTGGCACAACAACAGTGCGTAGAGAGCTTCATGGAATGGGTTTCCATGGCCGAGCAGCTGCATCCAAGCCTCACATCACCAAGTGCAATGCAAAGCGTGGGATGCCGTGGTGTAAAGTGCGCCGCCACTTGCCTCTAGAGAAGAGGAGGCGTGGTCTCTGGAGTGACCAATCACGCTTCTCTGTCTGGCAATCCGATGGGCGTGTCTGGGTTTGGCGGTTGCCAGGAGAACGGTACTTGCCTGACTGCATTGTGCCAAGTGTAAAGTTTGGGGGGGTTGCTTTTCAGGGGATGGGCTCCGCCCCTTAGTTCCAGTGAAGGGAACTCTTAAGGCATCAGCACACCAAGACATTTTGGACAACTTTGTGGGAGGAGTTTGGGGACGGCCCCTTCCTGTTCCAACATGACTGCACACCAGTGCACAAAGCAAGGTCCATAAAGACATGGATGGGGGAGGGGGGAGTGTGGGGTGGAGGAACGTGACTGGCCGCACAGAGTCCTGACCTCAACCCCATAGAACACCTTTGGGATGAATGAGAGCGGAGACTGCGAGCCCCTCCTCCAACATTAGTACCTGGTCCACCTGGTCCAACATTCCCATAGACACACTCCTAAACCTTGTGGACGCCTTTCCAGAAGAGGCGGAGCTGTTATAGCGGCAAAGGGCGGAGCCAACCCAATACTGAACCCTACGGATTAAGACTGGGATGCCATTAAAGTTCATGTGCGTGTAAAGGACAGCCGTCTATCACCAAGATGACCGCCGGCAGCTGTCAATCAGATGGCTGCGCATGCGCGATAATGACAACGCGGGGTGTCACCCAGTCTGGAGACTGGGTGACACTCGGCCTCGGGACGCCCCTGTAAATCACATACACAGGGTGCTGTCTATAGCATCACATGTGGGCGGTTTGTATGCAAATGCAGCCTGTCTAGGAACACCCACTCCTCCCATCAAGTCATTTTTTTATTTGCATAACTCCTCCCACTGCTTGCATCAGGATTGAGGGCTCTTGAGAGGAGGACTGAGGGCTCTTGAGAGGAGGACTGAGGGCTCCTGAGAGGAGGACTGAGGGCTCTTGAGAGGAGGACTGAGGGCTCTTGAGAGGAGGACTGAGGGCTCCTGAGAGGAGGACTGAGGGCTCCTGAGAGGAGGACTAAGTCAGGGTCCTCTGATGTTTTTTGGAAGCTTTGTACAACCCCCTGCTGGCTCCTCCCACCAGCTATGATCTGCCTCCAATGCCTAGAGAAGCACACAGACCCGGTGATGACATCACCGGGTCTAAAGGGATGTTATGAAAATGGAAAGGTTTCATTGGACAATGTCATCCTCATGTTGATGAGGGGGAACTGGGGGAAGGCAAAATATTTTCATGGGCGTATTTGTTTACCTTTTTGCAGGAAGCCGTTAACGAGCGCAAGAACTACATGAAGCAAAAGGAAATGCTGCGCAAGAAGAACGAGAAGCTGAGCGACCTGGAGGAGGAAGCCCAGCAGAGGGCGCAGTATCTCCTGCAGAGAGCCAACACCATGCGCATGGAACAAGAGGATGAGATCAAAAAACTCAATGAGGTGGGTGGGGTTATATTATACTGAAAGGATTGCTCCGCCCACAAATTAAGAGCGGTCCAATCATTGGCTCATGCCAAGGCTGCAAACTGGGGAAAAAAGGTCTGAGGGAGGGATCTAGGAAGACGAGCTCCACCCACTTAGTAATTCCCACTGCATGGTCTATAAATACAGTGGAGGGGGGCGTGTGAATGGAATAAAACATCCAACACATTTCGGGGTCTGAACGCTCATTCATCAGGGCCGCAAAACAGACGGAGTAACCCTTTACAATACGCCAACTCATGTTTTGTACCCCAACAGATGATTCTGGACGCCAAGTGCCACGCCATCCGTGACGCCCAGATGTTGGAGAGGAAAGTGATCACCAAAGAGCTGGAGGAGGAGACTAAGCGTCTGGACCAGATGATGGAGGTGGAGCGTCTGAAGGCTATCAAGATGCAGGAGGAGATCGAGGAGATGAGGAAACAGGAGAGGGTCAGGTAGGCCATGAACCCTAAACGTGGTGTCAGCCCCGATGCAAGCCGTGGGCGGGCTCTTGGGAGGAGTTACGCAAATTTTAAAGGGCCTCGACGGGCAGGTGTCAGTCTGGAGCAGCGGGCGTTCCTAGGCAGACCTCATTTGCATACAGACCGCCCTAAGTAACACCCACAGATCAGGAGTTCCCGGCTTCACCTTGTCTTCACTGGCTGCATTCTTGCTGCGGGTCAGTAACTCAGAAAGTGCTGACTTGCATTTGTAGAAGAAGGTCCGCACTGGCAGCATGCATACAGTACAATGGCGTCAAATGGGGGGGTGCGGCCCGCACCCGGGTAACACCATTGGAAGGGTGACACCAAAATGACTGACATTTTGGTGTCACCCCCTCTGAAAAGTGGGGCACTGGGTCATGGACCGAGAGCCTCACAGTGTCAGTAGAGCAGAGGGGACCCGGCGGCATTACCTTATCCCGCCGGGTGAACGCCCCCCCCCCTGTCACCCGGCCTCGGGACCCCCCTGATACAGTAAATCTTTTGTGGCAGGTTTCCTTTAGTCAGCCCTGTCCTGTTGTGTCCAGTAAGCCCGGCTGACTTCTCTCCGCAGGGGGAAGATCCACATCATCCAGCAGATGGGGGAGAACGAGGAGTCCAGACTTCTCCAGGAGGAGCAGAGGGAGCAAGAATCCCAGCAGATGCTTCAGTTCCTGGAGGAGCTTCAGATGGAAGATTACAAGGTGACTGAATGGAGAGAGCTTACTCATTACGCTCAATGGGGGAGGGGTGTTGTATTACTCTCATAACAGGTTTACTTTCAAGTAGGGATGCACCGATACCGTTTTTTCGGGTATCAAGTACCGATATTTTGGTTTTGGTACTTGGCGATACCGAATACCGATACCGGTGCTTTGGCTGGCATGGAGCCGGCTTCCCGGGCAATCAGGAAGCCGCGTGTTGGGTAATGACATGCTCATTTGCATACAGACCACCCTAGGTAACGCCCACAGATCAGGACTTCCAGTAGGCGGCTTTCCAGCCAATCAGCATTGAGCTGGCTGTTCGGCAATCAGGAAGCTGGGAGGCAGGTCATTACTCGCTGCCCAGCTTCCTGATCGCACGGGAAGCCGGCTCCATGTTCCCCTATGGCACTGCCGTTCAGAGGAAATCTTCCTATGACTGGAAGTTCCGGTATCGGGGAAGGTATCGGAGCATTTGGGCGAGTACCAGTACTCGCCCAAATACTCGGTATCGGCACCGATACCGATACTAGTATCAGTTCATCCCTGCTTTAAAGAGTCATGAACTTATGAGCTTGTTGGACTTTCCACTGATGCTAAAGGAGTAGACCTGGTTCAGCAAATCACCGTTGGGATTTATTGGAACACCAATTACGAGCCGGGTCTTCTGATCCTGTGGTTCCTCCAGAGGCTCCTAGGGGTCCCTTGAGAATAGAGCAGTGGAAGACAGATCTACTGCTTACCAGTGTTCCACTGCTCTCTTCTCAAGGGACCCCAAGGATCCTCTGGAGGAACCCCAGGAGGGGAAGACCTAGCACCAATTCCTTCCAAAGGTGGTTCACTAGGGTTGAGTTTAGGGCTCAAGTTCCTCCACACCAAACTGATCACACCGTGTCTTTATGGAGCTGGCTTTGTACACAGGGGACAGTCATGGTGGAAGAGAAAGGGGTCTTCACCACACTGGTTACGCCATGTCTTTATGGAGCTGACTTTGTACACGGGACATTCACGGTTGAACAGAAAAGGGTCTTCACCAAACTGTGACCACAAGGCTGGAAGAGGACAATTGTCTACAATGTCTTTGTATGATGTAGTATTTCTAAAACCTTCACTGGAGACACCTGACCTCCATCATTAGGAGGGAAGTGTTTGCATACATTTGGCAGTAGTGAAGGTATGATGGTCAGGTGTGCACAACCTGTTGGCTATGTAGCATGGGTGTAAAAGGACTTTAGGATTTAGAAGCATGTTTGATGTTTCCCCCACCACCTTTGGAAGTATTTAAAGCTAGGTCTTCACCTCCTGGGGTTCCTCCAGAGGTTCCTTGAGAAGGATTTAGAAGCATGTTTAATGTTTCCCCCACCACCTTTGGAAGTATTTAAAGCTAGGTCTTCACCTCCTGGGGTTCCTCCAGAGGTTCCTTGAATTCTCAAGGAACCTCTGGAGGTACCAGTCTGCCTACCAGTGGAAGACTGGTAGGCAGGACATATGTCTTCCACTGCTCTCTCTCAAGGAACCTCTGGAGGAACCCCAAGAGGTGAAGACCTAGCTTTAAATACTTCCAAAGGTGGTGGGGGAAACATTAAACATGCTTCTAAATCCTTCTCAAGGAACCTCTGGAGGAACCCCAGGAGGTGAAGACCTAGCTTTAAATACTTCCAAAGGTGGTCTGTAGGGTTGAGGTAAGACCTCTGTGCAGGGCACTCAAGTTCCTTCACACCACTCTGGTCACACCATGTCCTTATGGAGCTTGCTTTGCACACAGGGGACAGTCATGGTGGAACAGAAAAGGGTCTTCACCAAACTGTGACCACAAGGCTGGAAGAGCACAATTGTCTACAATGTCTTTGTCTGATGGAGTGTTAAAAGAAGCTTCACTGGAGACACCTGATCTCAATTATTTGGGTCCACATACAATTGGCCATAGGTGTGATAGTCCGGTGCCAACAAACTGTTGGCCATATAGCATGGGTGTAAAAGGACTTTGGGATTTAGAAACATGTTTGGTGTTTTCCCCCACCAGGATTTGGAAAGGAAAAGAAAGGAACAGCTGGAAATCCAGGCTGAGATCAAACAGATCAACGCTGAGCTTGAGAGGAAGAAGATTGAGCAAAAGGAGCAGGAGAAGCTGGTGGACCTGCGGGTGCTGGAATATACCAAGCAGAAAATGGTGAGGGGTTCTCTGCGGATGAATGGATACAATACGTCACATTCTGTACCTCCATCGGACCCTTCTGCAGTCCTCGGCATTGGAACTGTAGAAATATACACTATATTGCCAAAAGTATCGGGACGCCTTTACACGCACATGAACTCTAATGGCATCCCAGTCTTAGTCCGTAGTGTTCAGTATTGGGTTGGCTCCGCCCTTTGCCGCTATAACAGCTCCGCCTCTTCTGGGAAGGCGTCCACAAGGTTTAGGAGTGTGTCTATGGGAATGTCGGACCATTTGTGAGGTCAGGGACTGATGTTGGGGGCGAAGGCCGGGCTCCCAGTCTCCGCCTCCCAAAGGTGTTCTATGGAGTTGAGGTCAGGACTCTGTGCAGCTAGTCACGTTCCTCCACCCCAAACTCCCCCATCCATGTCTTTATGGACCTTGCTTTGTGCACTGGTGGGCAGTCATGTTGGAACAGGGAGGGGCCGTCCCCAAACTCCTCCCACAAAGTTGGGAGCATGAAATTGTCCAAAATGTCTTGGTATGCTGATGCCTTAGGAGTTCCCTTCACTGGAACACAACCCCCCTCCCCCCCATAATCCCCCCTCCACCAAACTTTACACTTGGCACAATGCAGTCAGGCAAGTACCGTTCTCCTGGCAACCGCCAAACCCAGACACGCCCATCGGATTGCCAGACAGAGAAGCGTGATTGGTCACTCCAGAGAACACGCCTCCCCTTCTCTAGAGTCCAGTGGCGTCGTGCTTTACACCACTGCGGTAGGGAGCAGCATTATATCTTTATTATAAGGAAGTTGCATTTACAAATGTTGTCATGTGATGTACAGGACCATAAAAAGATGAAGATGTGGGACTTCAATTGGGCTTTAAGTTGCTATAATGGTGTATCCATTTCAGGGATGGTTGTGTGTGCTGTTATTCTCTCGTAGACTCTCCCTGTCAGAGAAGATATGTCAGCCCAGTTTCACATTAGGCCCCTCGCACAGGCTGTCCTGTCTTCTGCCTGTTAGAAAGCATACAGCTTACGTGTTTTGGGTGACTTGGACTTCTTCAGGGTTCAAGGTATCGGTGTCGCTTCCTACGATCGCTCAGCAATGGCCGCCTCAAATGACTTTAAATCTTTAGTTCTTTAACCGATCACTGTCCGGATTTCATTTTGGTAAATTGTGTTCCAAAATAACATGTGGAATTTGCTCAGAGTTTCTCCCTTTGTCTTTGTGGCCAGGCTCGGGAAGCAGAGTACGAAGCGGAGCAGGATAAGATCAAAAAGGAGAAAGAAATGGAAGTTGCTCGTCTGCGAGCATTACAGGAGAGAGCTCAGGACCACCGAGCAGAGCAGGTAGGTGCACCTTCAAGAAGGCCTGAAACATGGAGGAGAGGAACGTGCATGGGGCTGGAGAAGCCTGTAGCCAATCGGAACATCAGAGCGTTTGGAACACTAGAACAAGCTGTAGCCAATCAGAGCACTCTGAACACTAGAACAACTTGAGCCAATCAGAGCGTTCTGAACACTAGAATGAGCTGTAGCCAATCAGAACATCAGAGTGTTCTGAACACTAGGGCAAGCAGTAGCCAATCAGAGCACGCTGAACACTAGAACAGTCTGTAGCCAATCAGAGCACGCTGAACACTAGAACAGTTTGTAACCAATCAGAGCACGCTGAACACTAGAACAGTTTGTAACCAATCAGAGCGTTTGGAACACTAGAGCAACCTGTAGCCAATCAGAACATTAGAACAAGCTGTAGCCAATCAGAACATCAGAGCACTCTGTACACTAGAACAAGCTGTAGCCAATCAGAGCACTCTGGACACTAGAGCAACCTGTAGCCAATCAGAACATCAGAGCACTAGGAACACTAGAACAAGCTGTAGCCAATCAAAGCACTCTGGACACTAGAACAAGCTGTAACCAATCACAATCTTAGAAGGTTCACAGGATGAAACCTTTAGCCAATCGGATCTTTAGAACCAACGTGGAACCTCGCCATCCAACAGCCAATGAAATCTTTCCCTGACATATATAATATTATTTTAGGATGCCCTCCGAGCGAAGAGGAACCAGGAGGCCATGGAGAGAGCCTGGCGCCAGAAGGAAAAAGAGGAGGCGGTAAAGCAGGCCGAGGTGAACAGCATGTTGCGGAAGGCGCGTCTGGATCAGGTGACCCAGAAGGAGCACTTCCTGGCTGTGCACGCTCAGCGGGACCGGGCGGAATTCGAGCGCGTGTTAAAGTATGGAGACCTCTCACCGCCGCCTCGATCGAATGTAGGTGTCTGGATGCAGGCCATATAACCGTCTTCATGTTTCCATGGCAGGGTCCAGCACAGTCTGGTGGAGAAGGAACTCAAGGAGCAGGAAGTGAAGACCGACCAGCTGAGGAAGCACGCCAGCGAACTGAGGCGACAGGTGCGCGAGCAGGAGCAGAAACAGATCACGGACCGCATCTCCCACTTCGAGGAGGGCAAGAGGCTGGACGAGGAGGCCCGGCAGCGCAGAGCACGCCTGGATGGACTCAAACAGAAGAAGCTGGAGGAACTAAGGTGAGGGCCACCACAAGACTGTAGAGCTCTAGGTCTGACTCAGCGGGGGGGAGGGGGGGTGTCGCACCTCTGCAGAGAGACCACTGCTTCTACACAGAGAGCAACGCTCCTTCTCTGGGACATGCTGGCTGAGCGTTGTCACCCTAGGAGGACAGGAAGTGTGTTAGATGCAACCAACCACATCTAGGGATTGGGAAGCATCAAAATATTACATTCAGCCGTCACCCGGCTTCCTGATTACCTGTGAAGCCGGTGTTCTAACGAAGGAACACCAACTTCACTTGCTGTGGCCGCCTGGCTTCCTGACCAATCAGGAAGCCGGGCAGCGAGTCATGAGGTACCGTGCGGCTTCCTGATTGGCTAGGAAGCCGGCTTCATTTGTTTCCAGGTAGCCTAGCAACAAGTGAAGCTGGCTTCCTAGCCAATCATGTCCCGGCTTCCTGATTGGTTAGGAAGCCGGCATCACTTGTTTCTAGACAGCGTGGCTTCCTGACAATCGGGGAGGCGGGTCATTAAGTGCCGCCCGGCTTCCTGATTGGCTAGAAAGCCAGGCTGCTTAGCAACATGTGAAGCCGGCTTCCTAGCCAATCGGGAAGCCGGGAGGCTGGTCATGACGCGCCGCCCGCTTTTCTGTTTGGTTAGGAAGCCAGGCAGCCTACCAACAAGTGAAGCTGGCTTCCTAGCCAATCAGGAAGTCGGGCGGCACGTCATTTCCCGGCTTCCTGATTGGCTAGGAAGCCGGCTTCACTTGTTGGTAGGTTTCCTGACCAATTAGGAAGGCGGGTCATTAAGTGCCGCCCCGGCTTCCTGATTGGTTAGAAAGCCAGGCTGCTTAGCAACATGTGAAGCCGGCTTCCTAGCCAATCGGGAAGCCGGGAGGCGGGTCATAACCTGATTGGAAAGGAAGCCGGCTCCATGCTCCTTCGGCACCACCGGTCAGAGGGACATCTCCGGCATAGGAGGTAAGTATCGGAGCATTTGGGCGAGTACGAGTATCGGTGGTTGTATTGAATAGAAATGACAAACTCCTGAACCTGGTCCAAACCTGGAAGGAAGCTCCTCCTGCTGCTCAATCAGCTGCGACCGGGGAATGCCCCACCCACAGCTGCACATAAGGGGCGGGAAACTGTGACGTCATTGACTTTATATGGTCACATGGCTATATTTGGTCCGTGACATTGACCAACTATGGCTATGATACCAAATAAGGGCAATACTTTCAGCACAAGCATCCCACCCCTTTGTTTATGTGCAGCTGCGGGGCGTGGCATGCCTCACCCCGCAGCCGATTGGGTGGGTGGTCCCATATCCCCGGCATTACCCAAATTTACCCTCAAACCATGCTCTCTAGAGCAGTGGCTCTCAACCTGTGTAACCTCAGGACACACGTTTGTCCCTGGTCATTAAGTCGTGACCCAAGTTGCTCCACATTGGAACGCACGGCATTGCGGTAACGTGCGTTCTGGTGCGGGCAATCGAACTGTGGGGGGGGGGGAGATGCCTTTGGTGTGCCATGCAAATGAACGGCAATGCAACACCTCTCCCACACCAGAATGTGCGGTGTGGGCTGCTGTGCCGTGGCTCCACCCATATGTACATTGTGGGCAGAGGCGTACCGAGGCGGGGTGACACCCGGTGCGGGTACTGGGTGACATCCTGCAGTGACGGAATCGCGTACGCTTGTGATGACATCACGCGCTGTACCGCTGTTACCTGCCGGCGGCCATATTGGTGGGGACGTTCATCTGCCAGGGTAAGGTATGCCGCCGGATCCTCTCCTCTATCGAGCAACTGTCGGGCTCTCAGTCCACGACCGGCTTTTAGTATTTCCTGTGGTGACAACACCAGGTGTCTTGTAGGAGCGTCTGCTGGGAGATCAGTTCCTATTGACATATGCACAACACCAGAACTACATCTCCCAGCACACCCGGGTTCAAGGAAGAGCACACATGGCCCTTGTATGAGGACAATATTGTGCCCGATCTTATTTCTTTTCTCTCTTCCAGAACTGCCGGCCTTCCAGAGAAGTACTGCTCCATGGTGGCCCGGAAAACCGATGTCCCGTTAACCGTCGTCCAATAAGAGGGCCGAAAGCCTCCGCGAATACCCCCGGTCCCGTATTCTGCGTCCTCCGCTATCTACAGCCAGGATGGGATCGGTCAGAATCTAAATATTGTTTTTATTTCCCTGACTTCAATGTACACGACCTGCACTCACCCAGACTGGGGAATAAAAGAATGAACCCTTTATTTGTACAGCTTCCTTCTCTCTAATGGCATCAGGAAGGAATTAAAGGGTCAGTCCACTCCAAGGTGATATCTGCAGTTATTTCTCTAGGTGTCTCCAGCTGCAAAATGTACAGACCCGGGAACTCAGCACAGGGATGGTGGGAGCTCCTCATAATGGGCACAGCGGGTGTACAGACCCGGGAACTCAGCACAGGGATGGCGGGAGCTCCTCATAATGGGCACAGCGGGTGTACAGACCCGGGAACTCAGCACAGGGATGGTGGGAGCCTGCCATTCTGCTCCCTGACAGCGAGGTGTGAGGTTGCTGGTTCCTTAGCTCGTGAGCTTCCAGAGACCGGGGGCTAGAGTTGCTTCTCTGCCCCCAGGAGAGATGCTGGATCCTGGGGAGGACCCCGGCGGGGGCTCCGTGGAGAGGCCTATGACTAGGCCTCAGCCTGTGGAAGATTCTGGGCCTGGCCCAAGGAGAGATGAGTCCCTGTCTGCCTTTAGACGGAGGATTGTTGGGAAGCTGACGCGGATCGATAAAGAGGAGGAGAAATTGACGGCTTTGAAAGCTGAATTTAGGAAGAAAAAGCTGATTTATTCCAAAGTGTTCAGCAAGAAGAGACCGGCACTGAGGCCTGAGTTGAGAGACGTGGAGCAAGCTTTGAGGAAGCAGAAGGAGTTGGTGAGCGCTCTGAAGGAGAGCAGCGGAGCGTTTAAAGAAAAGTATAAAAATGAAGAGCGTTTCAGCAGGATGAGGAGAGGAGCCGCTTCCAGCATGGAGAGTGACGCAGCCAGTGAGGAGATGCCGGTACCGACAGAGTCAGCGGAGAGTGAGAAAGTGGGCCCGGAGGATGAGCCCAGCTCTTCAACACCTCAGGCATCTGCTGAGCCCCCAATGGTGGAGGCCTCTGTCCCCCTCCCTCCGCAGGAGCAACATGGAGGATCCGAGCAGGAGGTTGAGGGAGGTAATGGCATGCTGGAGTTTATTGCTGAGCTGGAATCCCCTCTGGATGGAAGAAAGTTCTGTTTCACTGCGGATTCCTCTGATGACGGGAAGGAGATGGATACCGTTCCTCGCCCGGTGAAAGAGAGACCTGTGGAGAGAACAAGATTTACCAGAAAGACTGCAACAACCAGGAAGAAGTCTGATCCCACCGTCGGCCATGACACTGCTGAGGTAACAGCACAGCAAGCAGGTACAGTGTGTGTGCAAGATGGTGATTTGAACTTTAATAATGACAATGGGCTTGCTGGGGGCTGTAGTGCTACGGACATTCAGCCCACACCCATAGACAAGCGTACAGACCCGGGAACTCTTCTCTAATCTGTCTCAAATGAAAATAATATGTAACTTTACAATGACTTTGCACACTAGGTGGCAGCATATTACAGTCTCGGGTCCAATAATCCTGCAAGCTTTGTTCTTAGATACTATTGGCCTGAACACGTGAGCTTTATATTCCAAAACATGAGGCATAATTATGGTCAGAACATGTCTGGGTGTCTGCGGATGAATCACGCTTCGGAGTCTGTGAAGAAACAAAGTAAAAATACACTTAACATATGCTAAGCTGTCATTGGGAGTAGTAGAAAAGTTGGATTAAAGTAGAACTCTGATTTGGTTAAAAAAGAGCAAAAATAAAACCAAAGTGCAAGTCAGCTTTAAACAAAATTATATATCATCATATATATACTATATTGCCAAAAGTATTGGGACGCCTTTACACGCACATGACCTTTAATGGCATACAGAGTGACCCGTTCTTTCACTAATGTCTGTAGAAGCGTCTGCATGCCAAGGTGCCTCATCCTATACACCGGGGGCCATGGGGGAGATTGGAACACCTGAATCACATGATTTGGAGGGGGAGGGGTCCAATACTTTTGGCAATATAGTACACTGTCTTTCCCTGGAAGGGAGTGTATGGATGCAAAACTCTGCATAATGAACTCCAGCTCACGTCTATTATATCCCTGGTATGTATTTGAATAATAGACGTCCATATACCGCAGCGGCTTTGATGTCAGTCGTTATGATGAGATGTGATATTGTACGGCACGTCCAATAAAACGTCAAATTCGGAGAATGACACCCAGCAGTGTACGCCACCCGCCCGCTAGACTTTCTTGTCTGTTGAGAAGATCTCCACCCTGAGACTAGGACCTAACGCAGCCGATTCCTGGCATAGTTCTGTGCTGAGGAAAGCAAGGGTGGAGAAGACCAAAACCTTTATTTTTAAATTCACCCCCTAAGGCCGTTCAGGCAAATTATTATCCCGCGCACAAATCTATTTTGTCATCACCGCTTAAAGGAGAACGGAGAGAAAAATGATTATATGTAATTGCTTGTGATTGACTAGTTGTACTGACTGTCTCTTCTGTCTGTACACCCGCTGTGCCCATTATGAAGAGCTCCCACCATCCCTGTGCTGAGTTCCTGGGTCTGTACACCCGCAATATCGATCCGCGTCAGCTTCCCAATAATCCTCCGTCTAAAGGCAGACAGGGACTCATTCCTCCTTGGGCCAGGCCCAGAATCTTCCAAAGGCTGAGGCCTAGTCACAGGCCTGCCGGGGTCCTCCCCAGGATCCAGCATCTCTCCTGGGGGCAGAGAAGCAACTCTAGCCCCCGGTCTCTGGAAGCTCACGAGCTAAGGAACCAGCAACCTCACACCTCGCTGTCAGGGAGCAGAATGGCAGTTTCCCACCATCCCTGTGCTGAGTTCCCGGGTCTGTACCCCCGCTGTGCCCATTATTAGGAGCTCCCACCATTGGGAAGTATGGCAGAGGGATATTGCAACTGGACTACCCAAGACATATAGGAAGCCAAGAGCTGTCTCAGCCCACTAGGCCCCTCCTATAACTTAAATATGACTTTTGGGTAGACTGACCCTTTAAGTCTAAACTGGGACATGATCTGAATGTTATCTTGCTGTTTGGGCAGAGATCATAGAATGCTCAGGATCTATCTCTGATGGTGAGGACTAGAGATGTATCCTCAAGCGGGGCTCCATTTCCTGATAAAGATCTCGTGAAACGTTATGTAACAATGTATCCGAGCACAATGACTACATTGCCATACATAAAAATGACTATTTTATTTGTGTCCGGGTTTCCTCCTCGACTTCTCATCCATCCCAAGGCAGGACTTCCCTCTGCGGGCGTATTCCTCTACAGATCCAGGTAGAGGTGGGTGGGTTTAGATTGTACGGAGGTTTATAAATATCCGTCTGATTCCTTTTTGAACAATTTGAGGTGTGAACGTGATACAAGGTGTGTCCAATCTCTGGAAACAGGTGTCAAAGTGACAGGCGTTAACCTTCCTCTATACAGGGACATCACTCAATGTTGTTGTTGTTTTTTATGGTGATTTCCATACGATAGGAAAAAAAAAGAGACGTTGTCAACGGGTTTTTATAATGTCTTCATTGTAACTGATTCCTCATTGTTGTGTCACTTCAACTTCCCTCTTTAGGAATCGATTAAAAAAAGGGAACCTACGCGATTCAACAATGGCCAATGTCTCCATACATCCGCCCCCATTCCACTCCGTCTGTGTCTTTGGCATCTTACACTTCCCGGAGTGTCCACTGTGCTCATCCTCCGAACCCTACATCGCTACAGGGCGCAGCATTGATGTACGGGGTTGGAGAATGGACCCAGATATAGCGGGGGACACAGTAGACACTCCCATCATGTGGAAGATACTGATAGAGGCTGAAACCATGGGATGGATGGGAGGTTAGAGATACGGACCACTGAAGAGGTGAGTATAATGCTCTTAGGAGACATGGGCCACTGAGAGGTGAGTATAATGCTCTTAGGAGACATGGGCCACTGAGAGGTGAGTATAATGCTCTTAGGAGACATGGGCCACAGAGAGGTGAGTATAATGGCTCTTAGGGGACACTGGCCACCGGAGAGGTGAGTATAATGGCTCTTAGGAAACATGGGCCACCAGAGCTGTGAGAAAAATGTTTTTTAGGAGACACTGGCCACCCGAGAGGTAAATATTATGGCTGTTATGAATCAAAGACCACCTGAGAAGTGAGAATAAGGGCTCTCCGGACACATGGGCCACTGGAAAGGTGATTGTAATGGCTCTCAGGAGACACAGGCCACTGGAAATATTTGTATAATGGCTCTTAGGAGACATGGGCCAATGGAGAGGTGAGTATAATGGCTCTTAGGAGACATGGGCCAATGGAGAGGTGAGTATAATGGCTCTTAG